CCCCTCTTTCCCCATCCTGAGGAGCCAGACTGGTGGGACCAAGTGCTTGTGGCTATGCTTTTAGTCTTCAGTGCACTTACAAGCCAGAATATCAGCCTGAGCCCTATTTATACAAAGAGGATTAACAACAGAGTAACAGAAATGGAGCTGTCAGCACTAGGAGTAGCTTAAAGTGTGGCTGTGGCACATGAGTGGTCTTCAGTTTCAAAATGTCTTTCTCGTGCTTGTAATTGTGGTATTTGTTCAGGTATAAAATCATCCAGTAAGCCTTCATGTATTGATATATTCTGAGGGCGTGCGGTGAACAAAGTTCTTGTAGGTCTATCTTACCCTACTTCCATAAAATTGCTGATCTTTTGCACATATGTTGGTCCTATCCTGCTATCTCCCTCTGGTTATCTTTATAGCGTGATTTTTCTGAAAGACTGACAACTGTAGAAACACAGGAAGCTGCGCTGGATCAAAGCATAGCAAACCTGCTGAAAGAAGAGGAGGGAGTAAAGGTTTGTTCCAGGGTCCCATATCACTTTGGGGATGGTTGCATGCTGGTAGCTGACAAGTTTTTCTTTTGCCCTTCCCCAGATCATGGATTCTGAAGCTTTTTTAGTTCCTAGGTGGTTTCTCAGGTATTTCATAAGTTTCTTCTTTGAGGGAGGACGATGGACAACTTTATTATCACTCTAGAAAGTACATTCTGAGTTTTCAAAGGAACTTTGAGCTTGAAAGTTGCTCTTAAGTCCATGTCTCCTGATTGGTGGGTGGTGGTTGCCTCCGCACCCACCCCCTCCCCAATCTTATTAAATTCGCTGACTCTGAAATACTTATAGAAAAGATACAGACCATGTTATAGTGATTTTATTTCTCTTTACAAGAAATCCCTTTAGGTCAGCCTGTGTTTCTAAGATGTTGGTAGGAATGAGATTAAAACATTGCCCCAAAGTGTCTTGGTTTTGTTCCCAGCATGTAAATGCCTATCTAAAAGCTCTGAAACAGCAGGGAATTTAACACATGTCACTTTGCTTTCTGCTGTCAGTGGGACATCTTGGTTTGTTGTCATATGGAGAGGCCCTAACTTAGGTGGTTACTTCTCTCAGCCCAGAAAAGACCAGGCTTTTTTCTGAGTGAGATTTAGTGTGGAAAAATGTAAGATTCAGTCCCTAACAGCTTTGAAAGTGTTTTCTTAATAGACTAAGGAGAGCCTGCGGAGGAATCAGCTGGAGAGCCTTTTTAAAGAGATGCATCTGCAGCTAGATAACCAGAAAGCTAAGGTCCTGGAAGCTCTCAGTCACAATGAGGAGCAACAGATTTTTCAGATTCAGATGCAGATACAAAATCACAGAGAGGAGAAGGATGCAGCCAGTCGTGATATAGAGGAGCTAAAGGCTCTGGGAGATCAGAAAGACCCCCTTCTTTTCATTAAGGTACCCAACAGCATCTTCCTTCCCAGAGATACTCAGCTCTTGGGTGGGCCTTTGCCTGCACTATGCTAATTCTACTTTCAAAATATCTTTTACAGGCTTTTGCAGCAATTCAAGACAGGTAAGCTCTTCCTGAGGTGGTCTACTGTGGCATTTCATGTTGCTTCAGGTGGCTGATAGTCCAGCCTCCAGGTGCTGCAGGCCCACAGCTCCCTGGGCTCGCCCTGGCTGGGCCCTGGGCAACCTTACTGCACATGCTGAGCCTGGCTTCCTCGGAGACCTAGAGAAGCTCCAGAACATCAACAGAGGTCACTTGTGACTCTTCATATACAGTGTGGCTTATATTTCTATACCCTCTATACCTGTTCTCAAGACTCATTGTGGGCAATTCCTGAATTTTTAGATCCCTGGGTGAGCAAGCAAAGGATGGATGTGCTTACATATCCTGAGTTGTCCTCCAGTTTGCATTGCCTTCTGCTTGTAAGAGGCAAATGCGGCAGGAGCTGAAACAGGCAGTGAAGTTGCGAGTCTATGAAGTTCATGGCTTTTCTCCTGAGTTGTTCCCCCAGTGCTGTTCCTCCACCACAGCTCACCACCGCATGCACACAGGCTCCCTCAACCCTGTGTTTCAGGTGCAGCAGTTGCCCCTTGGCTGTGATAACGCTGCACTTCTTGTCTGCTGTCCCAGCATCTCGTCAGCTGCCCCTGACACCTTGTTAGCTTCTGCTGTGGGGACTTGAGGACTGTCACTGCAAACATGATGCTAGGGTCTGTCCTGGCAAAAACTGGTGCTGGGATGGCTGAGACAAAGCCCTCTGGGGACAGATATTATCCATGGAGTTAACTTCATCCTAATGATGTTGAAGAGATTTGGGCTTCTGGGAAAAGACTGATCAGAGGGGGAGTCCTTGGTAAAGCTGCAGAGGAAGGGGAGGTCAGAAGCTGTTTTCTCTGTCTCCCCAGAGAGGCTGGGTGTAGGGTGGGGGATGCAGTAGTTGGCTCTGGGACAAGCTTGGTGATAGTTTTCTCGGGACTTGCTGCTTTTCTGATGCCTTTCTGCATATTTTAGAAAACTCAACACAGTTCCTAATAAGGCTGGTGTAGAACTGCCAACACCACCCATTATGTTGGATGAATTAGCAACAGACACTACTCTTCGGCTTTGCCGGCAATTCCTCTCAGACATGCAGTCCTTATCTGAAGCACCACCTGGTAAGTGATAATTTTAGTATGTGACAAGCAAGACAGGGAAGCTAACAAAACCTATTTAAGGAAGAATTATAATAAGACACTGACTACCTATAGAACTGATTAACAACATTGTGTGATTATTTTCACATACGTGTATGTAAAAAGGTGCTTCTCCTGGGCTTCAGCACTTTGGGACATGCCTTGAATACACTCTTAAAATGGGCTCTGGGTAAAGTGGAGCTCGCATCCTAGGAGTTTTCTGGGAGGATTAAGAGAAGACAGTAGCAACACCTCTTCTGTCTGTAGCATCACTGTTTCAAAGCATGGGGAAAGTTGAGAATTTATCACAACAACGGCAGGTGCAGTTTGTCTTAGGTCATAAATAATCTACTCTTTCTATGTAAATACTTCTACTCTTTTGTAATGTTTTGTAAGATCAGCCTACAGTCCCGGTGCTGTGCGTGGTGGGATGCTTGTCCAACCGAATCAAAAACATCAGGGTTTCTCTCTTGATAGTGCTTGAGCCTTTGCTGACTGTGAGCTTAGGGTCAAGACCAAGAGACAGCCAGGGTTTTCCTAGTTATCTATGCCATATGAGCAATTTTGGTTAGTTGCCCAAGTCACTGCTGCTGTTTCAGTTTCCTGCAGAATAACTTCCAGAGCAGAAAATGCCACAATATTGAAATGCATTATGTGCAAGAGAAGTTCTGAATAAAAATATTGGGCAGTTTCCTGAGTGTAGAATTAACTTCTTGTGACTGGCCATGCTGAGAAGTTTTGAGAGTTCTAGAAAATAACTTCAAATGATCCTAAGCAAATAAGCATTTATAAAATGGCTGTGCTACTGCTCACACATTTCTTGTATATGGAAGTTAATCTGAGAAGTTCTTAAAAGTGCCTAATGAAGCTCTGCAGGACAATGATGGGAAACTGAATTCTAAGAGTTGTTGTAGTTGGAAAGAAAAAGCAAAAAGACATTTTAAAACTGAAAGAGCAGCTTTTCTTGAAATGTGGTATCAACCCCTTTTAGAATTATATGGGAGCACCCAAGAGAGGTGCAGAACGTGTTTCAGGTAACATACGCTTTTAATGGCTTGAGTGGGTTGGACTTGGATAGGATTACTTGGTTGACTTGGATTGGGGAATCCAGCTTTCAGGAATGGGGATATATACAAATTTGCACGATTACCTGTTAATCACAATGTGTTTTGTTTTCCTTCTGTAGTTCATGAACATCTGACTTTTTCAACGTGTGAAAAAGGTAGATTTGTTGTCAGTCACAACATAATCTCTGCAAGCTTACCCAGAGATTTCGGATTTGGGGTATCATATGAATATAAAACCATTTCAAAAGTGCAGAGCGACCAGAGCTTCTCTGAGGGCTTTCACTTCTGGGAGGTGGACACCAGCAATGCGAGGTGCTGGGAGCTCGGAATCATTCATTATGACTTTGAATGCTACCTGCAAATGTCTTATGACACCTCCATGTCTTACCTTAATGTGTTCCTAGGTAAAACAGTGCTCACAGGAGCGAACTTTCCTACAACCCTCAAAGTGGTCAGGGTAGAGCTAGACTGCAGAAGAAATACACTTTCATTTTATAATGCATCTGTTAGAGAGGGAGATCCTGCTGAGAACCTCGAGCATATAGTGACAGTAAGCATCCCTGCGAAATATCCTGTCTATGCTACCTTCAGTTTGTCTGAAGGCTCTTTGAAGCTCCTGTGGGGACAAGGTGCTGATTTGTATTTCTAGGCCTAGATATCGGGGCTGCTGTTGCATGGAAGCTGTGCTACACTGGCATATTAGAAATTGGATTTTGGGCCACTGTGATGGCTCATCTGTGCGAGGGCAAAGCCTCTGGGGGGTGTATCACAGCACACTGCCACTTACTGCAAGAGCTCCTATCTTATTTGTTCTGTTCATCACAATGGAATTACTGTTAAGTTGCACGTTTTTGCTCAACTGTATCAAACACTGTGTTGGCTGCATGGTATTAAAATAATTTAGATGGAAAACTCAATGGTAACTTAGTTTATAAAGAAGTTGACAGCACAGCATGAACGGCTCCAGAACTAAGCAGCAGCAATGCTGATCTTTGCTCTGATGCATCTGCCTTTACCTCCACCCCCACCTGTCCTGCACAACCTAAGCCCTCCATTGCAGAAGCAAAGGCCTGGGATGGTGAGACATCTGGTTTCCCTTGCTCTCTGTAATGCCATGTGAGCTCTGTGATAGATCACTTACCTACTTCTTGCCTCAGTTTTAATTTTCTCCTCAGCTATGCAAAAATCTCACAGCAGAGGGAATAAAAAAGAGGGAAACTCCTGTGTCTTTAGTCTGTGCCATATGGGGCTAGGGTTAGTTCATTCTTATGGTTGTCCAAAGACCCTGGAGAGGAAGAGATTATATTCCTGCCTGCTACCTGTGGTTCTGCTGCCTCAAAACAGAGCCATGCTATTTGCATGAAGAGGTCCAGGCAAGAGCTCTTCACCCCAGCAGGGACAATGAAGGACCTTGAGGAACACTACAGTTTTGCATATGCTAAAATAAATCCTTGTTCAGTCTTAGAAGAAAGTGGCTGTGTTTTGTCTTTTGCATTTTATACACCAAAACGATATGGAAAATATCCCAAATGCACTCACGGTGGCTGCTGCTCTGTCTGGTCTCAGATAGTACAGGTGCAAAGTGAGGCAAGTAAGGCTTGTGACAGGGTGTGGGGATATTTCTATCCTACAGCATCTTCCCAAGAACTCCCATTTCCCTGTCAGCTTTCCCCTGTGTTCTCCCTACTTTACCTTTAGAGGAGCATCTGTAACTTGTGGAGAAGAACCAGACAGAGCAGAGGGAATTCCTGGTTTACCCCTGCCAGGCTCATACTCTTCTCAGTTGGGTTTTATCTCTAGTTTGCTGCCCCTGGTGTGGGATGGAGGATTTTTTCAGGAAGTCAGAGTGCTGTAGGAGAATTGTCCATCTCCTGTCCGCCCCCCAGCACCCCCTGTTCCCACCAGCCTGCTGGGGGCTCGCACAGGCAGCCATGCTGCTTGGGGCTGAGGGCAAACCTCTAAAAGTGGCTGCTGCAGCTTGCAATAGCTGTTTGTGGGTGGAGCCCAGGATGGGGAGTGTATCTCTGCTGGCCTGACAGGAAGGACTTGCAGCCTCTGGGCTGGGTCTGCAAGGGGGACGCATTGCCAAGGAAGTGTTTTTAGTTTCGTTTCCCGTGGATAGGCTAATGCACCGTTTCTGCAGCCATGGCAAAAGCTAGGGAAGAATTTGGAGGGAGTGCCAGCCTGGAGGACGAACTCTGCTGTCCTGTCTGCTTGTGTCTGTACCAGAATCCTGTGTCACTGAGCTGTGGTCACAGCTTCTGCAAGGAATGCATCCAGAAGGTGCTCGGTGCCCAGCAGCAGTCCAAGGCCCCTTACTCCTGCCCCATGTGCAAGCTCCAGCTGGGGCCCATCCTGGAGCTGCAGAAAAATTTCCAGCTGTGCAGCATCGTGGAGGCATTTCTGGCCACCGCTTCCAAAGGGCAACAGAGCAAGGGCACTAAAGAGGAAAAGGAGGTGGTTCCTTGTGACTTCTGCCTGGACTCGTCCCAGCCAGCGGTGAAAACCTGCCTGATCTGCGATGCCTCTTTGTGCCAGGCCCATCTGAACAAACACAACGCCAAGGCTTCCCAGCAGGACCATGTCCTGGTGGAGGTTGATGCAGGCAGTTCGGCGGAGGAAAGGAGGTGCCTAGAGCACGGCCGGCTGCTGGAGTGCTACTGCCAGGACGAGGCCCAGTACATCTGCGTGCTCTGCTCTATCACAGGGTGCCACAAGGGCCACAACGTCGTCACCTTGAAGGAGGCACATGACAAACAGCTGGTAAGGGGCTCTCCTCTCCTCTCTCTACGGCCCCTGCAGGGTTTGCTCTAAACTCCTGACCTGGAGGAAGTGGGGAAGCTGCAGGAGGGGCAGTAAGGCTTTTTGCTGGGGAATGGGGAAAGGGAGGGGTGAGAGCAGGCAGGCAGCAGCTTGAAGGATTTCATGTATGCCCCAGCCTGGACTGCTTTGTGCTGGAATTGGCCTGACATTTTCTCCTTTGTGTTTCCAAAGCAGCCTGGCTGAGGGAGAGCAGAGAAAGGTGTCTGGGGCTGGCCGGGGCAAGGGTGGGTAAATCCTGCAGCATGTGTTGATATGGCTCTGCAATCCCACGCTGCTGAAGTGTGTGACCGTGGCCATCGTGTGCAGCTGCAAACTGCCACTCACTTGTGTGTTCTTCACTGAGATTAAGAAGTCTCTTCCTCCACAGAGACTCAAGGACCCGACCAGTGCTGAACTTTGGGCTGGGAAACAGGTTATCCCACTTGAGGTCCTTCCTTTCGACTTCCTCCTCCCTCTGCCCTAAGTTTTGCTGACATGGGGCCTCAATGTTCCTGCCTTTGAGTCCAGCTGCTGTCCTTGAAATGCTCCAGAATCAGCTAAGACTGAGGGGATAAAATGCCTTTGGTATGCTCACTCACTGCCTTGCACTTGAAACTTCTGGGCTCAATTAAGGGCAGGAAACAACCGGCTTGCTCTGGATGCCAGGACAGGTCACAGCCTCCTCAGGAATTAGCAGGAAGCAGCCTTTACAGTTATATGTATCACAAACTAACTTTCTCCCCCAAGTATATTGAAAAAATATATTAAAAAAAGTTCAGGGTAGCTAAACAGAAGTGGGCTGTCTGAGATCGTAGCCATTTCCTTCAGCTTTGGAGATGGTAAGAAAGCAACACTGCCCCATCTGTGGGGAAGCCACCTCCATGGGTATACTGAGATCTCGGGTGCATAATTCCTCGTGGTGTTTTTTTTAAACTTCCCAGGATAGCCAGGGACATCAGGAATACAGCTCTTCAAGAAGAATTATAAAAGGGTTTTGGTGCAAGGAATCTCAGTCAAACTTGATTGATTGTCTTTTAATTTTTCAAAATCTAAAACTTTCCAGCTGTGACAACTATTTCACGGAAAACCTGAGATTTCTGGCATCATTTTTATTAAAGGAATAGGAATCTGGCAGCTGGGTCTGCCATGGCCATTCATGGGTGCTCGAGGTGTGAAAACACTACTGGAGGCAGCCAGGAGCAGCCAGAAGCATTCAGACACTGTCTCATCCCCAAAGAATGAGGTTTAATGTCCCCTCTGAAATGCGCTATCATGCAGTGTAACAGCACTCAGTGATCTTGGTATTGGTTAAAATAAACAGCTGGGTGAGAAAGTAGCACTGTTTCTCTGACCTTCAGAAAAGATTGTTGCTTATTACCTTATCCTCAGATCCCACAGCTGCTGACAGATTTGAAAACTAAGGATTTGGATCACATTAGGCACATGTGAAGATTCTGGCAGGGACAGAGCTTTAACAGCTAAAGTGAGATTTAAAGTGAAATTTATTTATTCAAAGGGAAAGTTGTTTATTAACCTACCACGTACAAAATTACACATATATAAAAATTAAACATTGACTTGAAAGATTTCAAGATCGTATCTGTTTTCCATTATGCCCTATCTTTGTGAGGAGACAAGTGAATGCAGTTTATTATAGGACTCACTGGTGAAAGTGGGTAGGTCAAATATGCCTGTGCCATTTGACCATCTCCACAACCCTCCAGTCTGGTTTAAAACTACCTGTGCTTCTATGGAGTTCAGTGCTGCCTTTCCTTCTGCCAGGGTGAGCTCTCTAGCGTCGTGATGTGGCTGCAGGAACGTAAAAGCGCTTTAGCTGCCACCCTAGAAGAGCTTCAGAAAAGCGAGAATCAGATCAAGGTTGGTATCCAGATCATCGCTAATTCAGAGCATCTTTCCTTCACAATTTAATAAGAAATAAGTGATGATTACTGTACTCTTAGAAGCAGATGAATAGAAAGAGAAGGATAGAATGTTTTTCCTGTCCAAAGCAGGGAAAACATTCGTGTGAGAAACTGCCAGAAGACAAGCTGTCTCACAGCCTCCCAGCATAGCTCCACAGGAGGAGCCAGCTGGGACGCTCCAACGTTGATTGTGGTTGCATGGACCAGGTTGCAGGACCAGCAAACCACAGACTGTCCGTATCATTATCTTTTTTAAAAGTTTTCTGTCTGTTAAATAGAAGAAAAATGCTTTGAGTCTACAAGTGGGATCTTCAGTGTGTACCAACACAGTTCTCACATTGCTAGCTGAATTTTATCTGATTTTATTACTACAGCATGATAATTTTCATAACCCTCTGCTTTAACAGATATTCTAACCGAATGTTTACTTTCCACTTCCTTCTAAAGCCAGTGCAAAGGATAGATACAATCCTAATTAATAAACAGAGACACTGAGCTGGAGTGTTGGGTTTCTAAGCCAGTGCACCACTTTGTTCATTTAGACCAATACGAAAACAGTGACTTATCAGCTGCAAAAGCTGTTTGAAGAGATGAAGGCAGAGATGACTCAGAGGGAGAAGATGATCCTAAGCAACATTCGGTCCAATGAGAAAAAACAACTGGTAGACATTACCAAAGTGAAGAAGGAAATGGAACAGAAGAGAGATGAGGCTGTGCAGCATCTTCAGTCTTTGCAGAACATGAGAGAGCAACCAGATATTTTCACCTTCTGCAAAGTAAGCAGCAGTATTCTGCGTTTCTTCATGAATATGCCCATTTCTCAGCCAGCTGCCCTTTCTGAAAATCGCACTAACAATTTTTTTCCTTTTTTTTGTTTTTTTGGCAATCCTATTTATAGGAATTTAAGCTGGCCAAGAACAGGTATGTTCCACCTGAAAACCCCTGTTTTCTTCTTTGAAAAAATAAGGTGTTGATAACTGGATCAAACCCCACTGCCTGCCACCCTCTGTCCCAGCACCCTACTCTGCAAAGCTGCTCCCTATTCCAGTCGAGCCAGAGGACACCACGTCCACACAGTTAACCAGGATGGAGAGATACCTGCCTGCAGTACCGGTGGTCCCTTTAAGATTCAGGTTCCTTGGCAGCTACATGGTTGCTGGATTCTGATGAAAACCTTTGGCTTTTATTACCAGAAAAAGATTTTTATCAGCGATGAAGCCCATAGGGTTTAGTTTACAGCAACACTCTCTTGGGTGTGCGTATTGATGACGCTCCTGCACTTAAGTCCCTAGGAAAAGCCTCTGGCTGCAGAAGTAACTGGTTCATTTCCCACCGATTTTTGCTTCTGTTTGTGGGCAAGCTTAATAGCTAGACAGATTTATTATGCCTTCTCTTACTAGTGATACGTTTAATTTATAACTTATCACTTCCTAAGTGACGCCTGGGTGTCAGCTGTAATTCAATGGTGCAAAACCACACCAACAGTAAGTTACAGATCCACGAGAGATTTTGCTGCAGCACCAAACTCCCCAGCTGCATGAAGCTGAAACATCTAGCTGAATTTTAAGATGTCATCTCTGTAATTTGTAAGAATTAAAGCTGAGTTAGAACTTGGATTGCAAGGATAACTTTGAATCACCACGTACCTAGGGGCTGTGCTGGCAGCAGCATAGTCCATTACTCACAGCTATGCTGCAAGTCAAAATCTAGCCTGTGGGATCAAAGTCATTTTCCAGAAGCCTGGACACCATTTAATGTATTTGGCACTTTCTTTCTTTCGCAATGGCAATTGTGCTAGAACAGTAAGAGCCTGCCTGTGGCATGTCAAAGCACTATTCACACAAGGGTATTAGCAAAATGCCTCCCCCTTTCTCATTTTCAGCATTTGAAAGTTCCCATCCGGGTTGCTAAGCGAAAGGTATTGCCAATTAAATAACAATATATAACAATTGCAACTCACTTAACCTTATCGAGTGCTGTTTGCCTGATACTTCATGTTGCCAAAGCACTCTCCTCTTTGTAGAGTCCTTCTTAACAAAGGAATTTATTAACTTTCTAATGCTAAATGGTTTTCTCTGGGGAAATGACTGCCTGTGTCCTAGGATTGCGAGTCAGGATTTCAGCGTCAGCAGGATGGATGTTGTGGTAGTGCAGCTGGATCAGACCAAGATCGACCACTACCGAGGCCTGATGCAGGACTTCTTGGATCGCCTGGGCTTTATGCTGCAAGCCGTGCAGAGTGAGTGATCTGCCCTGGCCTGCTGGCCATGCACCTCTGACCCTGAGCGGGACACAGCAAGCCATGGGGTTCAGTGGATGCCCACTGAACGCTGGCTCCTTTGTGTGGGGTGTGTGCATGGCATGGAGGGGCTGATGAGGACTTGGGTGGAATCTTGGGGATGTTGGAGAGCAGAGGGTGAAGAGGGCAGAAAGACTGTTTCTGGGAATAACAAGGATTGCGCTCCTAACCAGTGTAAGGCCAGCTTCTTCTCTGTCTGATGCGGTTTCCACCTCCCACCTACCTCCTGAGTCTTTGGGTCTTAATTAATGCTTTTGAGAAACGTCCTCTTCATCTGCCTACCCCCATCCCCACCTCGTTTATCCCCAACCATGAGATCTAGGGGCACAGTACCAAGTCCCAAACTTGAATGCATTGCCAGCTTTGTAAAACATTCTTCTCCATCTTTCTTATGTCAACTCGCCAACCAAATTAAGTGGAACAGGTAAATCCTTTTGTTTACTTACAAAATATTTCCTGCAAATTTCTCCAATAGTTGTTCCTTTAAGGACCATGTGTCCTGTGCTCCTCTCTTTGGTGTTAAGGAGAGCCAAGCAGAGTCTAGAAGGCTGTCCTTCATCTTAAAAGAGGGAGTCAGATCTATTTACATGTCTTATTTCGTTATTAACAAGATGTGATTCATGTTTTATGAAACCCTAACATGCAACACGTTCTTTGCAGTGGGGCTTCAGATACCAGTACCTCTTCAAACTCTTAAGTGCTCAAAAGTACCAGTTATGGCTCAGGCCTCTGGCCTGGGGCTGTGAGTCTTACAGAGAAAAATCTCTTGCCTAGAACTGTGAACAGCATTTTGTTGCATGCATCTCCTCTCCTTGCCAGAGGTGAGCCCAGCAGGAGCGCAGCCTCAGGGCACAGCAACCTGCAGTGGGTAGAAATCTCTGGGAAATCCTTTCTCTTCGGCCTGAGGGAGAGACTGGGTTTGATTCAGTACTCATTGAAAGTCAGAGCCTGCTCTGAGGAAAGACCAGGGATGGGTTCCCAGCACCTAAGCAGGAGCTGGAGCAAACCCAATGCCTGAAAGGACTCCCAAACCGCTCCAAATGCTGCAGGAGATAATAAATCTGTAAACAGTGTTTCTCTTCAGATGGCACTAGTCCAATGCTCTAATAGATTTCTGCTGGGTATAGTGGGACATGTTTTCCACAACCTTTTTTGAAGAAAACTTACTTAGAAGTTATTTGAAAGATTTTAAATGTATTTCTTTAATTGCCGCTACTAAAATTCAGTTTGCAAACAAGTTTTTCTTAATCCACAAACTCAAAATCCTGCTTTCTTCAACAGTTTCTAATTTTTGGAAGGGATAAATACTCTTTCTTAGGGGGAGATTAATGGTAAAATTTTACTTCAGAAGGGATGTGTTTGAGAACATCTGTTCAAAGGGGGGTGGTTGAGGACAATGTAGTCTTGCCTTAAACACAAACATATTTGTTTTACCAGATGCATTTGAAAAAACAGAGAAAAATCTTGTTTTCTTTTTTCAATAATTCATGTAGCTGATAATGGACGGAGAGCACAAGGGGCATGCAGTGCAGGTAAGCGATTAAATGGAGTTTTAATTACACAGCGCAGCTTAACAATACAGTTGCTTTCATTTAACATGATGCCAGCCTCAAATCTAGAGGTATATTTTTAAATCAGTGACATGACCATTTATTTGTCTCGTGAGTTCAGTCCTCTACAGACATACTAATGTCTGTGTTCAGAACCAGACAGTTACTCAAAACAGAGGGAGAATGCAAAGCTATACTTGGAAGCAATTTGTCAAATATGTGATTAGCATAGCAATAAAATATTACTTCATTACTACAGTAAGTGAAGCTTTTCCATCTTGTGTATTCCTACAGAACAAAAACAACAGACAGGATTACCAGGCTTCACGGGGTGGATGTGAACAAAGTGTATGAGCCACAAAGGCCCAGAAGGGAGAGATGAAAAAAAGAAAAAGTCAGAACTGAGATGGAAAGAAGTTGTTAAATATTGCCCAAAATTTCCTCAAATAATGGGAATCTGCCAAGTGTCTTGACCTCCTTTACATACCTGCTACTAAAAGCAACTCTGTAGCATATGCATGTTTAGAAAAGAGGTACTAAGAATTACCACAAACATGAGAAAATCTCCAACTGCTGCTGGCTTCCAAACTGTGGACTATATCATCTCCTGGCACTAATGATATTTGTGTACTGTTAATTGCGGTGACTGTGTTGTCATTCTGTGGTTGGATAAATAAATAAATAAATGGCTATAGCTACAGATAAGCAAGCCTGTCTGATTTCATACCAGCACCAGGAATTAATTGTTGTGAGCATTGTTTGTGGGTGACTGCAGTAGAAAATTGTTCAGGACCATGCCACAAATTTGGATTATCACATTTAACACAAGTGATCTTTGTAGCAAAGAATTAATTATCTTTGTATGAAACCAGCTTAGACAGCCTCTAAGCCTCATTTTAACTCTTCTATAGAGCACTCAAAGAGCCAATGCAAAATCCCACAATCAGCAGCCTACGAAGATGCTTTACTGGCCACATCTCCATGTGTCCTGATATTCTTCTCTGATCAAGCACAGGCTGTGCTTTCCAGATCTAGCCCTTACTTCACATGTCAGCTCCAAAAAAGGGTTTCATGGACACTGCCGGGCAGTTGGGCTCACTCTGTTGCTGTAGGCTGCTCTGTGCTTAGCTGTGGTTCGGGTCCAACACGCATGTTCACAGCTTGGATGTTTCTTCTACAAATGATAAAATATTCTACTGCAAACCACGATTGCCATTAATAAACATTTTTATTAAATAAAAGCTAAAGTTCTGGGTGCTTCTATATCAATTAGAAGTCATGGCTACAACTCTATTCTGTCACTCGTGATAATCAACATATATCTAATTGCAGGGATTAAAATCAGTAAACTCGGCAAGATCCATCTCAGATTTAGAATAACGACTCCCTTTGTGGTTTAAATGGGCTTGCCAGGCTGTGATGCCTTTGCTCTGCTGCACACATCAATTGTCGGCATAACAGAAAGTGCGTGGCCAAATTTTGGGAGCTTAGCAGTAGCCCAAGGTGACTTTGCAAATACTCCCTACTGCTCGAAGCCAGCGAGACACGAAGGACAGCCGCTCTCAGCCACTCAAATGAGGCAAACGAAATGAGCCTGTCCTTCAGCACTTTATTACCTGGGCTTCTCTCTGGCTGCCAGGTAGTTACTGCTTTCACCCCGGGTGAAGGAGCCATGACCAGCCAATGCAGCTGAACGCTGTGGCTGCAGACAATTACTGCACTGCTGCAAATCACTACAGGGAGCGACAGATACTCCAGCATCGCATTTGAAGCAACTCCCCCTGCTCCCATTGCACAGTGCATCCAATGTTGACTGCACTTAGGAAATGTCAGCACATCTGTAGCCCCTTCTGAAATACCAGTTTAACATTTACTGAGTGAAACCCACATTACAAACATGTTCCTGTGTTTCCAGCCATCAGCTCCCTGAACCTCTGAGCCACTGGCAGAAATGTCTGTGCCTTGTTTAGAGGGTACTCACAGAAACCTTCACTGCAGACGACCATCCAGTTCTCACGAATGGAGTCACATTCACAGGAGGTTTTTGAAAGGGCCGGGAGCAGTTCGGGAGGGAGGATGTCAGCTGCAGGCTGCGGAAAGGCTGTTGGTGCTTTAAGGAAGAGCTCTGCAGCCCTCACTGGACAGTTGTAACACTGCCTTTGAAGATAATGCAATATTGCACTAAGATTGCACCTAGCGTAACTAAAACCCAGGACCAATGGGACTTACTGACCAAAATGAAGACATTGTCTGGATGGAACTTGCCTAACATCTAATTTGGAGGGGAAAGTGCATGTAGCTCTTCACTGCCAGGCTTATCGGACTCAAATTTGGGGCTGATGTAAACACTTGTCAAAACAGAGCAAAAGAAGATGACTCTATTGTACACAAGATTAATGAGATCCAGGAGATAAGGACTTTATAATTGCTGCTATATGGCAAAACAAAGGATTTCATTTCAAGTACAGAGGAGAAAAATACTTTTTTTTTATACTGCTGCAGGCTTACAAAGCTTTTGGATGGAAATTATTATATAGGAAGGTATATCTTCTGAGTTAGATACTAAGCTGATGGTGCAGTATATTTCCCCCATACACTTGCCTGCTATAATATTAGCAAAGATAGACTCCTCTGAATTTGAGACTTGTCGTATTTTTAATATTCCATGCATTAGCCTTGAGGAAGCAAAGAGAGGTGAAAGACTAGATGAAAGCAATGTAAGGAAATACATTGGAGTCCAGCAATTATTTAACTAAGCCTTCTACCCCACACCACCACTCTGAAAATTTTAACACCTAATTAGTTTTTGACTCTAGGAGACAATATCGGACCATGGCATACACTGAGAGTGCAGCAATTCTGCGCATATATTTATGCACAACACTCTTTTTTGATAGCATTATAATTGTGAGATATGGAGTCCTGAGATATGGACAGAGCTTATTTCTTTTTGATATCTTTATTGCTTAAGTATTTTGATTACCTAAGGACTCTGATTCATTGCATCTTTCATCATTTATTACGCTCTCTTCTCTCCACCCATTTAATTTTTACTTGGTATTTCTCTCACCCTTGATGGAAACCTTTAGAGGTGAGGAAAGTGAAGTAGATGATTTTATGGCTTTTTTAAACTTTTACCAAGCATTACATGAGGTGGCTGAATTTATACTCAAATGCATAAATAAAATGCATTTCAAAAGCTATGACAGGCCCTCTTTCTGTTACTTAGTTTGATGTTTTTTTAAGTAAGTCAGACATGCCACATGAATACCTTTATGTGTCTGATATTATATAGTTGATGGGGCAATCTGAGAACGGGAGGCAGTGGGTTTGACAGGCAGACTGAGTGGGATGGGCAGATGGCCCATGCTAGCGTTTGTGTGCCAGCAA